ATTTCAGTTGATTTCTGACTCGAATGTACGAGATTCCAGCCGTGTCGGACCCCTCGCACGGTCGCCATCTTCCTAGCAAGTGTCGCTCGCGTGACAATTCGTCATTTGGTAATACGTCACTGCTTTCAAAATGCTTTCAACACCTTTTCCACAACTTTAATTGCTTTTAACAACTTTAAACATTCAAAAAATTATGCTCTTGATTGTTTAATCCATAAATTTCGATGCAAAAAAAGCCGCAATAAAATGCAAAAGTTCATGTTTTCCAGGACGCCATCTTCCTAGCAAGTGTCATGGCGTGAGCATGACGTGTACATCTAGGGAAATTTGAGGACACGAATTCCTATCAAGTTACGCATCTGGTATATACTTCATCTGTGGCAGGGTGTACGAGTACTCGTACAGCACATACACTGCAATGATTTTGACCAGGGCGCTTGGTTTTGATGCTTACAATTCCATTTATTTGTCTGTAGTTTGCAACTACAAGACTACAGACACATGATGAAAAGATTTAACATGATTTTCTAGCGATAAACCTACCTTTTCCATATTTTGACTGCAACGATTTTGATCTTAATTGAGTACTTAGAAATAATACCAACTGATTAAATTCAGGAGGGACGTACAAAACTATCTGGCCAGGTGATCTGACCTTGACCTTGGGGACCCGGGAACCCCCGTACAAAATTACCTGGGCCTAAATTTCCGGTCCTAAAACAATCTCGTTCCCAGAGTATGCCTGTTCGCGGGTTAGGTTGTGGCATGACTCTGGGGAAATCGAATTTTTTTTATCCAAAATGAGATAAATGGCGCATGCGCTTTTATTGCTTTTGTTTATTCCGCTTACTAAATTCGCGCGGGCACACGCTCACAATCGATATTGTTTTAAACAAAGATTCTCATCAGAATATAGTATACAAAATCGTTTTTTATACGTTTAAAGGTGCTTTAAATCGTACTACTATTAAATTATATTCAATGGCAAATACTGAAAGAGCTATGGAAGTTGTTCTAGCGAAAAGAGGGCTTGAATATTCGTTAAAAGACGAGACATTCAAATGTATCTCGGCCATAATGTAAAATGGTGAAAATGTTTTGGTTGTTTTGCCAACAGGTTATGGGCTTATTATGGCAAATATTAAAATATTTCAGCTGCTACCTGACGTGTACGACGTGTTACTTGGCGTAACTAATTCTATCGTGATAGACTGATAGTAATATCTCCACATGAATGACCAAGACATTTCTGCATGCATGATGTCAAAGTATGATACAAGGCCATTCTGTGCTACTATATTATGGTGATGGCAGCGATATCAAATTACCATTGGATCGACATGAGAACCTGACGTATAAGCTGTTCTATATGCACCCAGAAATGTGTGTCTGTGACAAGAAAATACAAGCTTTTTTGAACTGTATACTGTAAACCTCTGAATATAATGCTCACCTCATTCCAAATATAAGCCCCCCCCCAAATATAAGCCCCCCTGAATATAAGTCCCCGGAATATAAGCCCCCTGAATATAAGCCCAGTATCCCACTATGTTATTTATCATTGACATTGTCTTTTAATATAGCAGAGAACCATATTTGAAACACTGTCATTGTCTTTATAGCTTACTATGTTAATCAAAGTGTGTTATTAATACATGTTTATTTTCCTGTTTATGACTGACTTGTTTATTACTAACACAATTGATCGTCCATGTATAAGGCCCCCATGCATATAAGCCCCCTCCCCTAAGCCCATCAAAAATCACTTACAAAAGAATATAAGCCCAGGGCTTATAGTCAGAGGTTTACGGTATTATATATCCCATATTTTAACAATAAACACATTACTTTTTTTATTATACTACATTAACATATATACATGGATCACATATAAAGTCTTTAAATGACAGTACATTGTGTTTGTAATTATAATTATCATAATTACTTGTGTCGAAAGTAAGAAATGAAGTGAACAAATCCATATATATTTGTTGAAAATTTGTTGGCTGTGGGTATCTTCCATTTGTTTTTCATGCTTCACACTGTGTATCTTTGAACATTTAATCAGCAACTAATTATAGGCAAGGATATATTCACTAGCTCATTTCTCCATATTACCAGGTACATAACATGCAAATTATACATCAACCTTGCAATCCATGCTTTAACCCCTGCAGTTGCCCCCTCTCCTGCAGATGTTTGGGAAGGGAGAGGAAGGAATGCAGGTACTGTAATTTCTATATTTAGCCCCCTTCTCTTCAAGCCCCTCTCCAATAACCTCCCCCCTCATTTGGATACAAAAATAAATACCCCCCCCCCCTCATTTGGATACAAAAATAAATAAGCCCCCCTCCTCTTTTAACCATGCAGTCCCCATTCAATTATAATTCTTAAAAGTATTATTCTGTAGTATTTTAATAAAAACAGTACAACTGTAACTCTGAATATGGACATTTTTTAATTAATGGTAACCAGACTTATTGCATATATTTAGAACAAGTGCCCCCTCAATGATGCTTAGGAAACAATAATACCCAGGAGGCTTGATACAGAAATTAAAGTTGTTATTTATATATAATTGAATTAATTGTCAATATATTCACATAGTATAATAGTTTGGAAATGGAATCAATACTTGTATATTTTTAGCAAATGAGCATTGTTATTGATCAACAATGACTCTTATTGCTATAAACAACATTGTTTCACATAGCAACAGACAAGGAAACATCTGTATTTAAATTCACTACTTATTTTTTATCCAGACACAAATTGATGAAAAAATTGTTTCAGGTTTGGCTTATAGTTATAGCCTTACATTGGGCTATTCCATTTAATATCCCCCCCCCTCCTTGTCGAGGATCCCTGGAATTCTTCAGGGGTAAAGGGTTTTGAGCTTGGAATTCTTCAGCGGTAAAGTGTTTTGAGCTTGGAATTCTTCAGGGGTAAAGTGTTTCGAGTTTGGAATTCATCTGGGGTAAAGGGTTTTGAGCTTGGAATTCTTCAGGGGTAAAGGGTTTTGAGCTTGGAATTCTTCAGGGGTAAAAGGTTTTGAGTTTGGAATTCTTCAAGGGTATAACCATGAAAAACATGTATCCTCGACAGGGGGTGTACCAATATTAAATGGAATAGCCCATCATGCTGTCAAGTGGCAATCATTTACAAAGCAAGTCTATAACCAAATGATTTACAACCTGAGGAACTTCTTAAATCAATTATTCTATAATTTATACAGATGCTACAAAAACATCCTGGCATCTTAACTTTATATAGATAACTCCATTTACAAAAGCACCACAGACTATAACATGTTGAGTGTTGACCATAATGTACTGTATTGTTTAAAGCTTCAAGTTTTTAACACAAGCAAAAGCTGTCACTCCAAAGTCCTGGCAACAATATGTCAATTGAACAAAACAACGACAACGTGTGCGATGATTTCATTTAGCCAATTCTTTCATAGTTATAATGAATATACTCATAGTCATACTGTAGATCGATAAAAAGTCATTCATAAATACCATGCCATTTTGTAAGTATATACCCAACGTCCCAATACTTTTTCATAGGATTAATATTATATCCTTCGATTTATATTGTTTGATTTCGCATTCCAAATTTGATAAACATTGATAATTCTCTCTTCGCGTATTTTCACGCGTAATTCTCGCAAAAAACACGCATTAATTGTGTCGGCAGTATTGATGATCACGGCAGCCAATCAAATAACGATTCCGATTCGATTTCCCCAGAGTCATGCCACAACCTAACCCGCGAACAGGCATACTCTGGGAACGAGATTGGTCCTAAAACGTCCAGGCTTTTCCAAGAAAACGAAAGTAACGTCAGCAACCGGTTTGGCCGTTTTTGCAAAAGACGTGCGTGCCTTCGTGGCTTCTTGCCTTCAAAAACCTATTCAGAATTCGCCTTTCTTCATGTATATACGATAAAAAAAACATTGAATAAAATTCAACATGCCGCGAAGACGCCCAAACCGAGCTATGCAGGAGAATTTAAGAGTGGCCGAAAAGTTTTGGCGATATATGAAAGACAGCAATCAACTGCTTGGAACGAGAACAGAGCTACGGCATTTGTATAAAACAAGTTTTTGGCCAGCACTTACCGACCCTTTTCAGCGCAAAGTGACATTTTGTTCAGTGATGTATTGTTTCAGAAGTAGATATATGAAAATTACTGAATGGAAAGAAGCAGGCGATCGAGAAGTTGTAGATTATTTGCCGGGGAGGAAGGTCGCTGTTGATCAGTCATATGCGTTGAGGAGAGAAGGGATTAGTCAGTCAGACGAAACTGATGGGGAAAATCTGGATGATTTTGCTGAACTGAAGAAAAAGTTGGTCTCACCTAGGTGATATATTGAACGTTATATTATTGTGATATTTTTGTGATATTTTTTAAATTGAATTCAGTAGAAGATGTTTTTGTTCAATTGTTTTTGTTCTATAAACTAGCTTTAAAAAAATTTGTACAATTTCAAACGCGTTCAACCTCCTTGTTTGTTTTGTAACATTGATGAAGCTAACCAATTATTAAACTATGCATTGTTAATTCATTCAACAACATCAGCACTCCCTTTGATAAGTAAAATTGTCTGGCATTGGACAGAGTAAAATAATAAAGACGAGATCTTAATAAAGTAAAATAATAAAGACGAGGTTCCTTCGAGATCTGCTGAGACACAGTCGTGTCGGGCCCCCTTGAAGGAACTCTCCCCTCAAAGGCGCGGAATATCGATAATTGGGGAGGGGGCAGATATTCATATATTTGTGTTAATCTGCCCATTTTCGTTTGAAATTGATTGTTTTTACAGTCTGTGAACACAAATATATGAACATCTGCCCCTCAATTATCGACATTCCGACGCCTCTGTCTCCCCTTGATAAGCTAGTAAAATCTTCTGGTGCTAGACAGATCGAGTAAAATGATAAAGTATGGTGCATTAGTTGCAGGGCCGTACACAGGATTTATTGACCAGGGCGGCAGTAAGGCCTATATGCCAAAAAGGTCCCAAATATCCAAAGAATAATTAATAATGACATTCTAAAAATTGTAAATATAGTTTTCTCTAGGGGGGCAGTTGCCCCCCCCCCCCCTGTATACGGCTTTGGTTTAGTTGTGCAATATGCAACTCAGTGGGTTAAATGGCCCTGATCACCCCTCATATAATCAGCCCAAGTTCTATAATTATGTAACTTAATAATCATGCCCACATATTTCCCTCAGACACAGATTGATTCTGGCCCAAGACAAAGGTGGCATCAGCATCCTGCCAGAACCTGACAAAGAAGGAATTGTTTTCATGTCGAATTCCAAAATCCTTCAATTCACGGTAACCAATGAGATGCGCACAGATGTAAAACTCCGATGTGCAGTCCTTGGCTGGCCCGGTCCATTCAAGGTAGATCACATGATTCACCAAATTGTCAGTGAGGCCAAGACTGTGGATCTCGGGGGAAAATGCCAAATTGATTTTACTGTGACATTAGTGAAATCAGCAAACCCTGGAATCTATTCATTTCCTGTTGCATTTATGTTCCATCGAGATGAAGGGCTCGAGGATGAGCTCGACGAGGAGGAGCCTTTCCATATTGTCAAGTACCTTAGAGCTGTCATTGTTGATGATGTTGTGACGAGGCTGCAGCCAACAACGCCGTACAGGCGTCGAAGACCTTTTGCCATGGTGAACGATCCTAGTGTTGTAACCGAACGTGGTGAACCACCTTCCATGTAAGTATTGTTTCAAGACCAGTGAAATAACAGTTTAATAGACATATCCTACATAAGAACAGTAATTTTTATCATTGACGTTTTGACCAGATTGTAGTCTTCATCAGGATTTAGTGTAGAATCCCGGATACATGCGTATATAAACTAATAGTTATTGACCAATTGTGCAACAATCGGAAATCATCGATTATTCATGCCACAATCTGCCTGATACCGATGCTGATTTTATAATGGCGTCATAATATCAGTTGACCAAGTAAAGGTGACGTCATTTATGACGATTTTTTAACAATAATTCCCAACATGCCGCCCGCCCATCAACTGCTGTATTTGAATTGTAATTGTTATTCATGATCACTGAGGTTGCTTATCATCGTGTTATTACTCAAATTACTGTATCTCATTTTGTCCTTTTTGCTTTATCATGAAAAATAGAACCCCCCCCCCCTCCTGCATATGCACCCCCCTGGCCAGGGTTAGAGGGGTGTGCACCCCCTTCCCAGTAAATCCATCCATATAGTACTACAGTGCAGTCCCCAAACTAGCTTGTGGAATTTAACAAGTGCACCATGCACACTTGCAAATTAATTAGACACACATTTTTGAATAAATACAGTACGTGCCAGTCCAAACTGATTGGCCCCATATGACTCTGAACAAACTAGGAGACTAACAAATTTACTCATGCAGTGGATGTCTTTTAAACATTGAGTGGATTGTTTTTTTCGAGTTTTTTCTTTTTTCTTCGATCTTATAAATTCGTAAACCCAGTCTGACTTGTTTCTGCTGCCTGATCTTATTAGCCATAATGGTTATTACAGGTTAAGTAGCTACTCTTCTTAAATATTTTTTTCTCGTATAATTCAAAAAATGTAAATATTTTATTTTGGGTACAAATAAATTGTTGTTGTTGTTGTTGCTGTTGTTGCTGTTGTTGCTGTTGTTGTTGTTGCTGCTGTTGTTGCTGTTGTTGTTGTCATTGTTGTTGCTGTTGTTGTTGTTGCTGCTGTTGTTGCTGTTGTTGTTGTCATTGTTGTTGCTGTTGTTGTTGTTGCTGTTGTCATTGTTGTTGCTGTTGTCATTGTTGTTGCTGTTGTCATTGTTGTTGCTGTTGTTGCTGTTGTTGCTGTTGTTGTTGTTGTTGTTGTTGTTGTTGTTGTTGCTGTTGTCATTGTTGTTGCTGTTGTCAT